CTCCATGAGCGACAACTCCATGAGCAACGACTCCATGGTACAAATCTCCGTTGCGAGCTTCAGCATGAGCCTTGTGCACGGAGTGTTCAACCTTAGCTTGTTGGACAGCAGCAGTATCAACTGGGACACCATCAGCTCCAATAACTGGAAGATGTTGATGTTCTACATGATGAACACCATAGACTTGATGTCCTCCATAGACATGATGAGCTCCATATCCAAGAGGAGAAAGGTGTTGAGGTCCATGGTAAAGAGGAGAAAGGTATCCAGCAGAGGCAACAGCCAAAGCGCAAGCGAAGACAACCTAAATTAATAAAATCACAACAATTACCACAATTCTAATTAAAATCTTCAATTACTTACAAAGAATTTCATTTTTATGAGTAGTTATTAACCTCCTGTTTGATAGGACTGTTAAGACTGTGCCTATTCCGTTTCCAAATCGTTCTTTTATACCGAAACGAAAAGCGAAGAACCTTCGAAATTATCAAACGCGAGAGAGGTTTTCGCATCGCCGAAAGGAATTTCTAAAATAGTTCGGAGCCGATCAAGGAACTCGGAAGAGGATGTTGCATGAATCACAGATTGGGTGTGTGATTAAGTCAGATCGAAAAGAAAAACAAGTCAATAGTTTGTGAAGAAAAACAAAGTAAATATTCTATAATTCATACATATTTAAGAACGTTTACCTATTTTTTGTGTGTATTACAGAATGTTATTGGCTTCTGTTTTAATGAATGTGCATATTTAAGTGTTACATTTTATGCAAGGCTGATTTTAATGGAGATACATAATTGGAGTTTTTTTTTCTTATTTCAATCAAATATAATAAATTTTCGACACTTTCAAATTATTTGCAACAAAAATTAATAATTTATTTATTGAATGATATAATTAGTTACAAGAAAGTAAAAGAATGCAATTGAATAACTTAAAATTTGTAATTTTAATATAATTATGAAATTTAAATCCTGTTGCGAAAATAAAAATGTTTTTAAAATCTCTCAAATTAATTATTTAATTATGTACTATTTTCTGATTTCTTAAGGTAAGAAAAAGTGAATATACAAAAGTCAAACTTTATTATAATAAATAATTATTGCTATACAATTTTCAAAGTTCTTGTTATAGAAACTTGTAAATTTTTGTATTTGTTATTCCTTCAAATCAAAGAATCTTTGATACATTGATAAAGTTTCTTCAAAATTGAATATCCTAAAATATATATTTAAAATTACACCTAAGTTCGTATAAATTTCAAAATAATTGACATAAACAAAAGCTGTAAGCACAATTTGTTATTAAATGAAAACTGAAGATTTTTTTGCTTATAAATTTGTTGATAATAATTATTAGCACGTAATTAATTTTATTTTTCAGCAATCGATTTTATAAAAGGAATAGCTGAAAAATTATAAAAAAAAGTATATTGTTTTATATAAAATAAATGTAAACAAAATATTCAAAATTTAGCAAACTTTATTCAACTAAATGTATATTTTTCATCTCAAACTTAAAAATATTTGTTATAAGGATATATTTTTATACAAATATAATTGCAATATTTCATAATACAATCAATGTATGATATTAAATATTGTAGAAGAAAAAAAAAGATAGCAAGTAATATTTTTTAAATATTTATTTACACAAGAACATAGAAATTAAAGATTCAGCTAATCAAACGTTGCAAACATTCAAAAACTCTGAAATGCGACAGCCTTTGTTGTATTTTTTTTTGTCATTTTTTATTTTTCTTCGTAAGTATTGGAATTACCATTGGGACAGGGCTTTGGCGTGGGCGGCGAAGTGGACGGCCTTGGCGTGTTGCACCTCTGGGGTTTCTACTGGGACACCGTGGGAGATGACTGGGACGTGGTGAGCTACACCAGTGTATCCAACTATTCCGTGGGCGTAATGACCGTTGAGGGCTTGAGCCTTGGCGGCGTAGTGAGCGGCTTTAGCGTGTTGTACTTCGACGGTGTCGACTGGGACTCCGTTTACGATGGCTGGGACGTGGTGAGCTACTGGAGCTACTACACCAGTGTATCCTACAACTCCATGGACGTAATCTCCGTTGCGAGCATTAATACATAATTTGAGAATTTTTTAAAACATTTTTAAATTTCATAATTATATTAAAATTACAAATTTTAAGTTATTCAATTGCATTCTTTTACTTTCTTGAAATTAATGAAATTATTAATTTTTGTTGCAATTAATTTGAAACTGTCGAAAATTTATTACATTTTATTGAAATAAAAAAAAACTATAATTATGTGTCTCCATCAAAATCAGCCTTGCATAAAATGTAGCACTAAAAATATGCACATTTATTAAAACAGAAGCCAATAACATTCTATAATACACACACACAAAAAATAGGTAAACGTTCTTAAATATGTATGAATTATAGAATATTTACTTTGTTTTTCTTCAGAAACTATTGACTTGTTTTTCTTTTCGATCTGACTTAATCACACACCCAATCTGTGATTCATGCAAATGCCATAAAACTATCGGAAGTTTCTTGATGGTCGAACTAATTTTAGAAATTCTGTTTCGGTGATGGTAGCCTTGCGCTTGAAATATTTGTTGAAGGTGCTTCACACCACGTTGAGTATAAAAGCGGAAACGCGAATTGACGGCACAGTCTTAACAGTCCTATCAATCAGGAGGTTAATAACTACTCATAAAAATGAAATTCTTTGTAAGTAATTGAAGATTTTAATTAGAATTGTGGTAATTGTTGTGATTTTATTAATTTAGGTTGTCTTCGCTTGCGCTTTGGCTGTTGCCTCTGCTGGATACCTTTCTCCTCTTGGTTATGGAGCTCATCACGTCTATGGAGGACATCAAGTTTATGGTAGTTCATCATGTTGAAGCTCAACATCTTCCTTTGATTGGAGCTGATGGTGTCCCAGTTGATACTGCTGCTGTCCAACAAGCTAAGGTTGAACACTCCGTGCACAAGGCTCATGCTGAAGCTCGCAACGGAGATTTGTACCATGGAGTCGTTGCTCATGGAGTTGTCGCTCATGGAGCTGTAGTAGCTGCCCCAGTTGTATCAACCTATGCCGCTCATTACACCCCATCTGTGTACACTGGCCCACAACACGTCCCAGTCATTGGAGCCACCGGTGTCCCAGTAGAAACCCCAGAAGTTCAACACGCCAAGGCTGCCCATTTGGTCCACAAAGCCGAAGTACAAGCCCGCAACGGTGCTTCCGTTCACGCTGTGTAGCTCCAGTCGTAGCTCACTCTGTTGTATCCCACCATGTCCCAGTTGTAGCCACACGGTGTCCAGTAGAGACCCCAGAAGTCCAACACGCTAAGGCCGCTCATTTCGCTGCTCACGCTGAAGCCAATGCCCGTAACGCTATCGTAGCTCACTCTGTTGTATCCCACGATGTCCCAGCCATCGTCAAGGGTCCCAGTCGAACCGTCGAAGTACAACACGCTAAAGCCGCTCACTCGCCGCAAGGCCGAAGCTCATGCTCGCAACGGAATTACGCCCATGGATTGTAGGATACACTGGTGTAGTAGCTCCAGTAGCTCACCACGTCCCAGCCATCGTCAACGGAGTCCCAGTCGACACCGTCGAAGTACAACACGCTAAAGCCGCCCACTACGCCGCCAAGGCTCAAGCCCATGCTCGCAACGGAGATTCCAGCTGTGCAACACGCTAAAGCCGCTCACTTTGCCGCTAAGGCCGAAGCTC